TTTTTTTTTTTTTTTGCCAATAAAAGAAATTTAACAGCTTTAAAATGTTAGATTACTGTTACTTTTTGTCCCCCTTATTTTAGATTCCGAGTGGAGCGAAAAAACTTATGGTTTTACAAAGATGTTTATTTTTTTTTTGTTCGATCTTGCTCCAATTATTAGTACCTTTTCTGAAAGAAAATCGGTATGTGAAGGTATTTTTGGGAGTCAATTTTTGATTTTCTCATCAAATGCGAAAAACCAAAAAAAAAAAATATTAAAGAAAAACGGGAAAATGTACGAAATATATTAGTGTATTATTTTTCTGTGCACAATTTTTCTACCGGCAATTGTGCTCCAATTATCATAGCAATTTTAGCAATTTTTCTAAAAGAAAATTTCAACGAGAAAGTATATTAAAGTGGTCGTTTATTTATTTTCTCAAGAGTGTTCCCAGCAAATCTGTAAAACCAAGAAAAACATAGGAAAACCGGGGAAATCGGTACAACATATTAAACAAATTTTATAAAGTCTATTAAATTATTTTATTATAATATATTATTGACAAATTATCACTATCAACTGAACTTCGCTCAGAATTATTTTTTCATAAGCAATGGTTTAACGTTACTTACAGGTTTACATAAAAATACCTATAACAGTGGCTGCACTCGTCATAATTATCCTAAGACCAATTTTCAAGAGTGAAACGACTATGTATTTTTGATTTGAAAATGACAACGAATACCTATTAATAATCCCATAGCTAAATGGAGGATTAATTTAAATACATTTTGGTGTTCAAATTTTTGATTCCCGTCAACACGTTGACTAGATATTGTACTTTTACATTTAGGTAGGATCAAAGTAGATAATTCAATGCTATTCAAACGCCGCATATCGTACCACAATACAAATTCATTATTAACCAATACTCTGTTTAGTTAGTATAGAGTACATGTTACCTGTATATCTAAAAGGTACGATAATTCGTAAACAAATATCGATTGTGTACAGAATATGTCGTATCAGATATTCGCCAATAGATATGTGCGCGGTCTGACTGCAGGCTGTTTGTGCGGCTGTTACTTTTAAGAGCACTTTGCGCAGTGCGCACAATTATTGCCCGAAGGACAACTCGATATCACACACGAATTTTAAACGAAATAATGATTACGATAAAAACGTTTTTCCAAATACATACTTACATTAGATGGTATATTGAAAAATATAAACCTAACCTTTGTTTGTAACTAAACATAATAATTTCACAAAAAACAGCAGGCATCAGAAAAAAAAAAATTTTGAAAAAAATCTAAACACGATGAAACATTGTTAAGTAATAAAAACAGGTATTTTCGGTATTCGGTTAAACATATTTAGAAATATCGTGATTTTACGATTTCTGTCAAAATTTAAAATTCAAACATTTATAAAAATTATATATTTTAATAATTTATTTAACTCATCAAGTGCATTTCGACTTCAAACTAGTTTTCTACCGAAAATCTTAATCCGTTCATTACAATTACACCTTACGGTGATAACCACCCCGTGTTTTTGATTTTTTTTATTTTTTTTGTGGAAAGAAAACAACTCCAACAGGTGCAATGAAGTTTAATATTTCATTATGAAACTCATAACCACAAAAACTTAATTTAAAAAAATTGTAAAAAATTAGTCTTATTCAAACCCTAATTATAGCGTTTAGAATCATAATTTAAAAATTCAAGTCCGATGCGCCCTGTAAGAAAAATCTTCATCTTTCTGAAAAAAAAAAATGACTTGAAGTGGGCCATGCTATAAAGTAGCAGAGTTAACCCTAGTTTTACCATGGTTGTTGCAAAAAATAGGCCGTATACCTGCAATCCCCTTAATGAAAATAATCCAAATCTCGGTATTTCAAAACATGCTTGACCAAATATCACTCAGAAAAATTTTCGCAATAAATTATCGTCGAGTATAGAGATATTAATTGAATTGTTCAACTTCCCGTATATTATTATAGTAGTACAAATACAATTCAACATCAGTTGCATTTCCTTTTATCTTGCATAGGTAATCATTTAAGTGAGATTCTTCAAATATGGTCAAATTTCATTTTTAAAAAATGAACTTTGTTTATTTATCCATATCGTCTGCTGTTATAATTGATATCCACTATTTTTATGTCTATAGGCAGTGGGGCGAAGAGGAATATACAAGATGTTCCACGATGATACACATAAATATTTCAAAAAAAAGGAATGTTTTAGTAAAAAAAATATACTAAGAAATATTGTAATTGATATATTCATTCGACAACCTGTATCTTCTAATATACCTATAAATATACCACTAATATTAATGATAATTGATAATAATATGTGATTATACTATAAATGCTGTGTGTTGTAAAATGTGTGCATTCAAGGATGTGAGCATGTATACGTTACACGTTATGAACAGTGTAAAATAATTTGGGTCAATTGGTTATTGACACCACCCCTCCCCATCCGTCGTTTTTTCTTTCCCTTTTTTGGGGAATACTGCTGATTCGCGTATATCTCCTGGCCCATATCGTCGAGAAAACGCTATTGCGGCCTCGCATTCGGATCACACACACATAAAAAGAGATTTTTATATTATATTAGTATCTTCATATTATACGAACCACATATAAACTATACATTATTATACGAGTATACACTGTTTATTTCAAACGGGAATTCGCTTCACTTATTTTCGATCAACTTGTTTATTGAACCGACGCAACTGATGTAGGTATATGTTCAAAGGCTAAAGGTTTCGTTAAAAAGATACACCTACCCGTAATTCAGAAATAATGATTTTTAACAGCTCCGGGTTAGTATTTGATGATAACATATTTGAATTATTATTACGTATATCAGTGTTTTTCAACCTATGGGTCGCGATTAAAGAAAAATATTTTGATTATAATATAATAAAATAGAAAAAAAAGAGCTGATACTGAGGATGGGAGCGGCCACTGTTGTAGGAGAGAAATTAGGAAGGTAGAATATATAAGATTATTTCATTTATATTTGTAAGTAACGATAAACTATTGCTGGACGAATGACAATTCCGAGCGCAGTTCAGTAATACATAATTTGAATTATCGTAATTTTTTTTACGATTTTCGTTATAATTTGATTTCAAAACGCTTATTAAAAAAATAAAAGTCGTCCGATCATTTTGAAAATTTTACCACATCTAGCTAAGTCCGATGAAAAGATTTGTACCAAGTTTCAACTCTCTACGTGTATTCATAACCGAATTCCAGCAAAAAAAAACTCATACAAATTAATATTCCTTAAAAGCTCAAAAGTGATTTAAAAATTTTGGTGATGATACCGTAAGAAAGTAAATCAAAAAGGCAACAGAATAGGTATCTTCTGATTTCTGATTTTTCGATTAAATCATTTTTTCTGGTAGAAAACGTCGTCCATGTTTTTGTAAAATAATGAAATCATGAAATTGTACGTTTTCCTACGTTTTTTTTCCACTTAAGTGCTTTTATTAAAAAAATGACGTCGAAAATCAAAAATATTACCTCTTTAAAGTACAATTTTGAGCTTTTAGAAAAGTTGCTACATTTATAAATCGGAGCAAGTTTACTAGGAAAAAACGTGTCCACAGACTAGAAGAAAGAAAAAAAATAAAAAATAAAACGTCTTAGTAAATCCAATAGCTCCCTCGCTACGCTCGGAATCTAAAAATATTGGTAAGAATAATAAGAAAATAAGAAAAATAAAATAAAAAAAATAAAATAAGAAAAATAAAATATTATAATATGAAAAATAAATTCAAAAACTTGTATTATTTTTTTTACGACTGTGTGAAATTTCATGTCTTATCGGTCAATACGTTAATCGCTACTAAGGCTTATGCCGTGTTCCGTGCTTCTTATTGATGTCATCGAGTGAAATTCTGCAAGAATATGTTTGCGTGCTGCCTTATTAAATTTATATAGTCCGAAGAATGTCGTAAATTAAAGAAAATAAATAAAAATTATCTTAGATAATAGAAATAGCAGAGTAGTGTTCAATAACAAAAAATAAATAATAAAAATAACAATAACAAAAAAAACTTAAACGGCTGATAATGGGTATAGGCATCAGTAAATCACTGTGAACCAACAACAATTCTTAAAGTGTGGAGCTGGCAGATAAATATTTTTTTTGCTACGTTAAAATCAAATGTTTTTGTTTCTTTAGTTCTAGACAACAAAATAAATAACAACTATTCGTGAATTTTACGAACATTTTTAAAATATGAACTTTATACACTTATAAATAAAAAAGATACAAATATACTTCGCACGATGTGTGGGCTACTGTTAAGAAGTTGGGAAGGTAGAGGAGAATTTAATGCAGACTTATCTGTAGGAACGGTTAATCTTTGATAACGAAAAACAATTCTGAACGGAGATTGGCTATACGTGTTTCGAAAAGCCGTATTATTTACTATTTTAAAATAGTACATTTCGTATTTTAAATTCTGAAAGGAAACTCCTTAGATATGATTTTACAAAGATGTGATGTTTATTTTTTTATTCTAAGAACAACTTTTCTATTAGAGGATTTACTCCAATTTTTTAAAATTTTTCGACCACCAAGTACGACTTTTAATAAACTTGTTCAATTGTCTAGCATTTGTGTTTGGTCTAACAATTTTATACACAGAGAACACAAAAAAAACCTTTAAAATTAAAATGTCTATTTCATTAATTCCACTTTTCATATCTTAAGTTAGAAGTCGAATAAAATTTGATTTTTTCTTATGTGACCATACCATTTACGCTATGTTGGCTTCCGATTGTTCCCTTTCTAAAATTATTATCGTATCGCTTGTCTTTCCTTCTTCCTTCTACGATAAAGTCGGTGAGTTTATAGATCTCTGTACCTTTATTCGCCGAATTTAACTGTTAATCCATTATCTTCTACATGTTTTACTGACATAAGTTTGTGTGTGAGATTTAGAATATGTAGTGCATTTTGCATTGTGATACGATTATTGGGTCATATTAACACTATTTTTCCTACATGTATGGCTGAGATTGGTGCACCTTCCTCCACCATTGTTATTATAATTGATTTCTCTACTTCAGTCAAGCCATTAAATATATTTTTTTGATTTGTTATGTGATCCGATGTTTTGGAGTGAATGAGCCACACCATACTGTTCTTACAGGTGTTGATGTTTTTCTCATGAGCGGTAAAATCAAGCTCACTCCTTTCAGGTTCCTTTGTTTCAGTTGCAGATGCCTTTTGATCTTTGTTGTGACCTTGAGTTCTAGTTCTGATTTTGTGCCCACTCTTTTCAATTCCTCGTCTAGTATTTTACCTCAGACAAAACTGGTCGTTAGTCTATCACCATTTAAAGTTTCAAGGATAGTGATAATATTATCGTGTATTTTTGGTAGACTTCATGGGAGGAAACAAACACATAATGGTTGTGTAATATATTGAATATTTAATACTTGTATAATCAACGATCAAAGCTACACAGCACATTTACCAGTTTGATCATAAACATTTCTTAAATAGTGTTGCCACCTTAATACGGCACATATTAATTCAAAATATTAATTACGCACGTCGCTCACATAGAGGCGCCCACGTAGCTACCGTGGCGAAGTGGAAAACCGCGGAAGGCTTAAATACTAATTAAACGACTTCTCTTGCTGTTCGCCTAGCAGAAGCAAACATTTTTTGCTCACTTACTCAAACCGTACATTTTTTTCCCAACCTCTACAGTAGTTGCAGATACCGAAGGTGGGCGGCTGTATTTAGTTCTCCCTATCCTAATATACCTGGTAATTGTGCTTGTTGTCACTATTGTTTTACCATATACTGTGTTTATTTTTTCGAAAATATATATATATATAACAATCCGGTATGTAGACGGCTATACGCATCTAGTTAATCAGTTGTGAATGATGTAGAACGGATGTGGTCGTATTGCCAAAATCTAACCCGTTCACCTCCGTGAGACGTTTGTCTATGTGCTTAGAAAGGACTGTGGAGAAAATACAATTCTCGCTGACACTAGCATTGTTTGTAAACCTGGTTGTCGCGTTGTGAGCCGAAGGCAAAAGAGTATTCACACGTCTATCGAGTACCTAACGAGATGTATATATATATTGCAACGATTCATCGATACCTAAACCCCTTATATCTTGCTCCTAATATTTCGAGCAACGAACTTCTTGTGAACTTCAAACAGAAAATATAAGATTAGGGTTAGCTTTAAATATTTACGTATTGGAATATTAATAAGAGTAAAATAGGCAGAAGAGAAGTATAACTTCTTACGATAGGCAAGAGACATCATCAATAAATATAATAGGTACGTGTTTTTATCGACAAAATATAGGTATTCGTACATATATTACAATATATTCCTAGCGACCACGCGCACACACACATAGAACCATGTACGCACACACTACACCAATTTTGTCAAAATATTTCGCTGTGACTCTATTCAAGGTCTTATCCGACCGATTTCACGTTGTGGCAACACTGCCGTCAATCATCCTATCGATAGATAGATCGCCGCATGTACGCTTCATGCGTCATACATACGAATATGAATATACCTATCACCCCCCATATAATTACTTTACCCATCCATATTCTTTTCCGTAATCTACTCTACTCGCTTCTTTCTTTCTCATTTTATTCTCCCTTCTCTCCCTTCTACCTTCCCTCTTTTCCCTACCCGATTTTTAAATAATATTTGTATTCTACTTACATTGTAGTACTACTATATTGAACATCTTAGAGTTTTCGGATAAGATGAATTTCTACACATTATAACAGAAGAGAATACCAAATTTAACAATAAAACTCGAAAAGGGAAAATAATTAAATATACACACAACGGGTACAGAATATGGTTACCTGACAAAAGAAGAATAGTCACAGCTAGGGAAATAGTTTTTGATGAACCAATAGAACACTGTAACGAACAACCAGACGACCCGGAAGAAGATAGGCAGGCACGAAAACAATATTGGCCATCTATTTCTTTTTTTTTTTTTTTGTTTCGGCTACATCACACTGCGGTTTTGATCGTCATTCACAGTGGCGTGCCTGAGAATTTTCAGCGTGAAGAAACGTGGCAAAAAAAAGAATATTGTGAAATCATCTTATCTATCTAGGTGGTGAATTCCTGCTCGAAAACGACTCAATGAATGTCACTAAAATTAAACAAATTATTTTATTGCATTTAAACTAGTAATCAATTATATTAAATAGTTATCAATAAATTATTAAAACCAAGACGTTATGATATAGGAGTGTTGTCAACGTTACACTTTCTAATAACAAAACTTGTTATTCGTTTATTATAAATTATTGTTTCAGTAAATTTATTATAAAACAATATAGCATTTATCAACTTATTTAAAATACTTTAACGTTACACTATCCACTAGAAAAAATTGCTGTCCGTTTATTATAAACGATTCGTTGCATACAGTTATCATTTATCAACTTTAATTTACTGTACGCAGCATTCAATGTTATGTGTTGAATATCATTGTGATACATTGTGGATTTGATTTGTCTACTTAATAAGTACGTATAGAATGTATGTGAAATATTTTTATTTTAAACAGATATGATATTATTAGTTTTGTAATTTTTGTATGTAGGATATTTTCCATACGTAAATCGACATTTAGATATTAACGAATTAAAGGAGAAAACAATTAATATTATATTACTGGATCATCGGGTGACTCGTGGGCATCACCGATACCCATCGATAAAATGAATAGTAGAAATACTGTAGTATCCATTGAATCGAAACAGGAAATCGTAGTTCATAAAACTACCAAAATTATATCTCAAAAACGTAGTTTTGAAGATACAGAGAGTATCATCCAAGACGAGTTAATTGACTCTAATCAATCTAAAAATGTGATCAAAATTAAACGACTTAAAGACTCTTACTACAGTGAAACAGAACCCGAAAAACACATGATAAGCAATAGTGCTAAGAAATTATGCAATCGCGTTTCAGTTTTACCCAATGAACACGGTGAAAATAAAGACTTTTCCTTTGTGTACACTCGAAAACGTGGTTCCAGCGTTTCCGATGAACAATGTTCATCAAATAAAAAAGTAAAACTACAAAAACTTGACGACAAAGTCATTGTGAAAAGACAAGGAAATACCATAAAATTGACGTCGACAAAAAGTCTTGAAGAAAATACCGTCCAGACATCGAATAAACCAAGACTTTTAACTGCATTACTATTGAATGGAAATTTATCACCAATAATAAATATAGATGAACAAAAATATAACATATACAACACATGTGCTTTTGATTCCATTGCCACAATTACATCAAGGGCTTTTCTTGACAACAGTGTGTATACAAATTTCGTAGACGCAAATTCAAGTTCAGAATTTTTGAATTTCTGCAAATCGGTAGCGTTTAGAGACAGTGCACACAATTTAAATTTACAACGAGTGAAAATATTGAGGAGAATATTTAACGAAGATAGCGGATTATCTAATTTAAAAATTATTAATTGTGAATGCAATATAATGAATGTAATATGCGATTTGTTTAAAGAGTATCCGTCGGCAAAAGACCACATACGGTGTTCTAACAATAGTTGTAAAAATTCGAATACCTGTAGAAACAATAGTACTATCATTTTGGATGTAAAGAAACTCTAGCACTTAAAAAATTTAGAAGGCATGGTAAAAGAATATGCTAAACTAAGGATGTATAATTGTGGTAGATGTAGCGAAAAAGTTGTAGCGAAGAGAGCATTGAGTCATCATCTATTTATTGAAACAGACCAAGTCGAAAGAACCAGTAAATTTACAATGGCTGACTTTCCACCGGAAATAAGCGTTGAGAATAATAGGTACGTATACCTTTATAATTACAATATATTTATGTAAATTAAATTCATTGATATTATTTTCCGAATCAGATTTGTACTCAACGGATCCATGAATTTTATGAGTGGACACTATACCAGCCATATACGTCGTTTAAATCAAAACTTATGGGAAACTCACAATGATTTGAAGAGACACATCGATATATGTACGATTCCGGAAAAATTAATTATCAATCCACATTTAGTAGTTTATACTAAAAAGTAACATTTTTGTTTAAATGTTCAATATTTGAGTAGACATGATCCTCCCCTAACTTTGTTATCTATTATTCTATAATCATCGAAAAACTTTGAACATTATTCATTGTAAAATTATTATTTTCACTTTTAAATTGTTTTTTATTATTTATTTTATAATTATTGAAAACTTTGAACTGTGATCCTCAGAAAGAACATTTGGTTATTTACAATTTTGTATTTTTTGTTGCTATTTATCTTTTTTTATGTTTACTTATACCTACTTTATATTTTTCTTTTTTATAATTATCTATTAATAAAAAAATTCAAACTGTAGTAATTTATGTATTTATATTTTTTCACAAATAATATACAAGTTTGAGTATGTATAATAATATTTAATTTAATACTGTCAAATTGTTTAGTTGATACTAGATAGTAGATGTAGTTGATTCATTTATTTCCTTAAAACTTTATATATTTATAGAAGCTACAATTTCAGTTTTATTTAGTTTAACTTAATTGGTTCAAGTTTATTTAGTACAATTTAGTTACAATTTCAATATAAGCCTGTTTAGTTTTATTCACTTCCATTTGTATAAAACCTGTCTAATTAAATTTTTATTTTGTAAAGTTTCCTTGTAATTAATTACCTATATTCTAGAGACAAATTAAACTGAACTTGCGAATATAAAAATGAAATGTAACAATTTGAGTTATATTACATGTTTACTGAAATTTTTTCTCTATCATTTTATGGTTTTTTAGATAGTTTTGTATAGGTTTTTGAACGATCGAACGTATAATTTATAGTTACACTGATATATAGCTGACAATATTGCAATTGGTATTATGCTACATATACGTTAGATTATACTAAACAGTCTAAGATTTAATTTTGTTATTTTATACTTTTAACGGTTTATTAATAAACAAGCATTAAACAAATCTCATAAAAGTTGTGCCTTCTATAGATTACCAATTATTTTTTTCATGTTGCTAAAGCAACCTTTAAATTAATAATGATAATAAATGTAGGTACCGATGTATCCGATGAATCGTCATTTGTTGTTAGCTTTCATTTTTTAAGAAAACTGTTACTAATTAGGAAAAATCTTCAAATAAAATATGTACCGCCACGTGGACAATTCGCCTTTTTTGTGGTCCGTAACCTAGTGTCTGCAGATCTGTTTTTAATACAACTTAAAAAATATTATCTACGTTGATAATATTAATAAAAAAATATGTTATTTAAAAAAAAAAAGGACTGAACATAGTTCATACCGAGGAGGAGAAAAAATGTAGTTAAATTCTTTCTTGACCTTTTTGTATAATAAAACTTGTTTGTTTTCAATTTTACTACGCGTCTGCTTCAACATTTTGAGTTTTTTATATTGCGTTAATAAATTATATTTTAAAAGTTTATTTCCGTGACACTAATATAATTATGATTTTATATTTTCAACAATAAATCTCGAATACTCGATTAAGTATTCAAGCTACTTTGTAGTTATTTATGCGTACTGTATTTTCAATTAAATATACATGTATATATATTAAGACCATTCTAGAAATTGCGTGTATAACCCAACGGATTCGGACATACGGTACACGATTTTGCAATACATTATTAATACAATTAAATTAAAATTTATAAACAATTCCGACATAATTCATGTTGTGGATGATAGACCAGTGTTGTACGAGTTGGAAATCGGGAAGGCGGAATCATTTTAGTCCGCGCATGACGTTGTAAACGAAATTACGATTCTGAGTTTGGTTAAACATTTTTTTTTTTTTTTTTTTTTTTTTGATAAGTTTAAATTAAAAAAAGATATTCTAGGATAGTGGATACAGGTTCAGCCGCTGTTATAGGTAATTTAATGTATATCTGTAAGCAACGATAAACTATTGCTAGAGAAAAAACGATTCTGAGCGCAGTTCAGTTGATAGTGATACTTTGGCAACAATAAATATTTCATATTGTGATAAAATACTTAAATAGGCGTTATTATTTTCTTTAATGTTTAATATTGTATCAATTTTTCCGTTTTTCCTGCGTTTTCCCCGGATTATCACATTTAGAAAACTCTTGGAGAAATCGAAAAATGACCTTCTTAAAGTACCTTCCCAATCAGATTTACTTTCAGAAATAGTGCTATCATTGTAAATCGGAGCAAAATTGCTGGTAGAAAAGTTGTATACAGGAAAATAAAAGGCCATAATATTTTTTCACTAATACCTACATGTCGTACATTTTCCGTTTTTTCGATATTTTATCCCGGTTTTTCTCAGTGACTATGAAAACCGATTGAAAAATCACAAAAATGATCTCCCTAAACCATGGATCTAAAATTTTCTTTTAGAAAATAAACTTCACTTGATACGAGGAAATAAGATTTCTGGTAGATAGTTTGCACAACAAGTCGAGGATTATTTTTCGATTATAATGGTCCAAGCAAGCGATAGCTAGGTCTCTAGATAGACCAATAGAATAGAAAATTCAAAAAATTTCTTTTCGAACCCTTGACCCCAAGTAGTGTGACATTACGTATCGATGACCATTCGAC